CATACAAGTTGGGGAAATGGAAGGAACGGAACAGTGGAAGGTTCACGTGGAACAATTGAAGGTCCAGATGGAGCAATGGCTGCAACAAGGCTTGGAGCTTGTTCACCAAATACCCCCAATTCAGCTCTACGTCGGGGTTGGTGTGTTGTTATTGACCACCCTACTTCTCTTATTGAGTGAGTCTCCTCTTTGTCTGATCAATTTTTTTCGTTCTTTAGTCCTGTGGTTGAATATCGCTTTCTGTAAGGTGAAACATTTTGGAATTTGCAATTGACTCCTCTCCTCTCTCGACAGCTCGCTTGTTCAAGCGCAGAAAATCGAATACCATTGTTCTCAGTGGACTCAGTGGAAGTGGGAAAACTGTTATTTTCTATCAAGTAAGCATCTGCATTGCTGGTTTCTTCTCTTTGTTTTATACGACTGCTGGACAAAACACTAGAACCTGGTATTTTAGTTTTTCTAGAATTTGATAACTGAATTGGTTGCCCTAAGATATTTGATATACTCGCATTTTGCATTTTTCATTTACTTCGGCTTCAATTCAATGATTATGCCTTTTGTGTTATGAGTTTATACACTAGTTGTATTTCTGCACCATCTTCTCAAGAGGTATCTCTAAGGCACTAATGTTATTTTGGAGTTGGAGTATATTGTCCACGTTGCTCTTGCATGTAAGAATGCCCCATTTTGCTTTGGACCTATTTTTAAGGTCGGTTAAGAAGTTAGTAACACAGCAGCCATGCACACTGTAGGTTTTCTGTTATGCGTCACAGTGTTTGATGTCTTGGATATTTCGAAACATAATTTGCTGATTGATTGGATGCCATGAAAGCTGTTATACAAAATTTAAAGCAAAGTATAAATCTTATCGGGTTTATGATGATGCTATGTATATGCTAAAGATTTTTCCTTGACAGGGCTTGTAATGTACCAAGAAAAAGAAGGAAAATTTTTTTCCCTTCTAGATGTGCTGCTATCATTTATGATGTTATTATGCCTTTGCAGCTTCGTGATGGTTCTTCTCATCAGGGTACTGTTACATCAATGGAACCTAATGAAGGCACGTTTGTGCTTCATTCTGAAATTTCAAAGGTAGGTCATGTTTACTAGTACTGGTGCTCAGGAAGTGAGAATGCTCCTTTCTCTGATCCATTACGGTTTTAGAAATCAGTATTAACAATGCTGTGCAGTTTTTTCCCCAACTATCTCAACTTTTTTCTTTCATTATTTGATCAAACTTAAACTAACAGGTATTTTATTTAATTGTTTTCTTAGTAGAAGAACAAACTAAAGCCTGTTCATCTTGTTGATGTCCCTGGGCATTCTCGCCTTCGAGCCAAACTAGATGAGTTTTTGCCTCAAGCAGCTGGTGTAGTCTTTGTGGTGGATGCTTTGGATTTTTTACCTAACTGTCGTGCAGCTTCAGAGTAATTATCTAATCACCACAACTTTATGCCTATGTGTTTATATTTACCATATGAATGTAGAAGCTTTTGGTCTCCCAAGTTCTCACAATCCTAACAGATAGCATTTAATTTGCTACATAAGCACTCACGTGTCTTGTCCATGTCTGATGCAATTCATGTTTAACTACACAAAAGAAGTGCGGAATCAAATGTCTCCTGTCATTAGTTTAATTTCTTAAATTTCTATTGAAGGTACCTCTATGATATCCTGACTAATGCGAGTGTTGTGAAGAAGAAAATCCCTGTCCTGATACTATGCAATAAAACAGACAAGGTTACAGCCCACACAAAAGAGTTTATCAATAGGCAGRTGGAGAAGGAGATGTATGGCTTCTAACTTTCTCTGTTTTATTAACGTCTTTTGTATTTGGTATCATTAACTACCATACTTTGTTATTTCAATCTTATGTTTTCTATAATTGTGCAGTGACAAGCTACGAGTGTCGAGAAGTGCGATCTCAGCAGCTGATATTGCAAATGACTTCACACTAGGGGTACCTGGAAAAGCATTTTCGTTCTCACAGTGCCATAACAAAGTTACAGTTGCTGAAGCCTCTGGATTGACGGGTGAAGTAACTGAGGTTGAGCAATTTATAAGAGAAAATGTGAAGCCTTAGCTGTRTATTCTATCCTACATGTTGACTGGTGCTTTTTACCCCTTCATTTGAATATAAACTCCAATGTGTTTGAAATGCCGCTTTGAGAATTTCGAATTGCATCCCGATTCTTGTAGTGTCTAAAGACAAGAAGTTAAAGCTGTTCTATGTCCATGTCTTCTTCCCTTGCTGAGAATTGTATAAGATCGTACCCGGAATAGTCGTACAATGTCACAGAAAAGCCAAAACATTCGTAAAGCATAAATAATAAAAATCTGAGACATTGTTGCCTTCTTTGTGGTGGAAATAAGATCATTTCTACAACTCTGCAATATGTTGGCTTCTTTTGTTTCTGGCATGGCTCTCAACAATCTGAATTTACACCAGCTAATAGACGGATAGGCGAAACATACGGGGAAATTGGCTCAAATGACCTCCAAAAACTTTTGAAATGCTCAAATAACCCTCTTTCTTTTATTGTGCCCTAATGACCCACTTGAATATTAAATTAATTTTTATAGGTAGCGAAATTACCATAGTACCCTTCGTTCAAAAAATTGAACCGTTCTAACTTTCCCCATTTCTCTCCGTTGTCAGTCGTCGTTCGTCTTCTCCTTTTCCGTTTGCGTGAGTCGTCTTCTCCCGCTTCGTCTCCGTTCGAAATCGCTCGAGGTAAGTTCAATTTTTCCACTGTTCCGTGGGGTTAGGGCTACGTTTTTTCATGTTGAATGGGTTTTCTTCCGTTGATTCCTGAACACCAGCACTGTATCTTGTTGACCATGTACATGAATGAGTGATTTCGCTGTCCGATTTTACTTTATTTTGTTCGTTCCATTATTGGGAGATTGTTCTGCTGTGATTTCCTTCATTGTTGTTCTGTCGAAATTGATTTTTAAGCTGAAATTGAGTTTTGAGGTATGTGGGAGGGAACCGTTTTAAGTGTGTTGGGAGGTTGAAGAAGGAGGAGAGCTCTGCCATTTTTCTCGGGTCGTTCTCGGGCGAGGTTGAGCACGAGGTATTCGTCAGATGCTTGAGGCTGAACCTCGAGCTTACCTCGAGGAACCTCGAGGTTCAGACAAAGCTGAATACATGGGGCATAACCTCGCCCAAGGTCAACCCGAGAAAAATGACAGAAGCTTACAAACGTTGAGCGACTTTACATATTTTTGTGTAGTCTATATTCTGTGAGATTTCTCGGGCCCGATCTTAMCCGAGGTTGTGCCCGAGGAAAATTACAGAATGTAAACTTTGTTAACAGTAATATATATTTTGTATGTATCGACCTCGAGGAAGGCGAGATCGTAGTATGGGACTCCTTGACTTCAATGACCACGGATCATGCTATGGAGGATCATTTGAAGGTAATGCGCACCATCATCCCAGTAATGCTCTTYAAATGTGATGTTATGAAAGTCYGACCCAATCTACYGATCCAACCATGGYGGATTCGACGAGTTAYGTYAGCACCACAGCAGMTTGGYGGTGGTGACTGTGGGATTTTCKGCGTCAAGTATTTTGAGTACGATGTAACCGGGTCCGCATTGAATACTCTAACACAGTCTAGGATCGCATACTTTAGAAGGCAACTTGCTTTTCAACTTTGGGCGAATAGACCTATTTTTTGATATTCCATTAGAATTGTTTTCTTATTTTGTACGTAACTTAGTTAAATTTGATAATACGAATGAATTTAAGTATATTGACTATGATTTAACANCCGAGGTTGTGCCCGAGGAAAATTACAGAATGTAAACTTTGTTAACAGTAATATATATTTTGTATGTATCGACCTCGAGGAAGGCGAGATCGTAGTATGGGACTCCTTGACTTCAATGACCACGGATCATGCTATGGAGGATCATTTGAAGGTAATGCGCACCATCATCCCAGTAATGCTCTTCAAATGTGATGTTATGAAAGTCCGACCCAATCTACTGATCCAACCATGGTGGATTCGACGAGTTACGTTAGCACCACAGCAGATTGGCGGTGGTGACTGTGGGATTTTCGGCGTCAAGTATTTTGAGTACGATGTAACCGGGTCCGCATTGAATACTCTAACACAGTCTAGGATCGCATACTTTAGAAGGCAACTTGCTTTTCAACTTTGGGCGAATAGACCTATTTTTTGATATTCCATTAGAATTGTTTTCTTATTTTGTACGTAACTTAGTTAAATTTGATAATACGAATGAATTTAAGTATATTGACTATGATTTAACARGGACTCGTTTAGATACATTGAGACAAAACATCAATTATTAATGGAGTTTAGGACTGCGTTTTCAATATTAGGATCATTTTAATCTTTATTTATGAAGAACATTGTATTTTACGGTCGAGGTAAGCTGGTTCACGCTCGAGGTTTTTTGCACAACTGACAAAAAAACCAACCTCGGTATCTACCTCGACCGAGTTCGAGCCTGAGAATATTGGCAGAACTGAAACAAAGAACAACCTCCATATTAAATGTACAGAACTTTAATCTCTATTTTTGTAGCTCATTGAATTTTACGGTCGGAGTCGACCATAACTTGGCCGAGAATTATGGAATCAAGAAAAATATGTGGCGACGGCGTCCAACACGAGGAACAAAATTTTGGTGGCTTAATCGTCCTCGGCACGTAGTCATCCAGTAAAATCCAATATTCTTCGTCTCCGACGGGGGTACATGGGTTCGGCGTAACCAAGTATGAGGGTTTCGATTCGGTACCATTTTGTTCTGCATTACAAAGCACAATTGAAAGACAATTAGAGATGGAATATATATATATATACATCAACCTCGGGYGGGAAACATATTTTCTCGCTCGAGGTGGAGTTCAATACGCAACCAAGCCCGAGGTAACTTTAACAAACATTCCGTTTTGAAAACCTCTGACCCCGATTAAGAAAGTTTAGTACCTCGCCCGATGTTCATCAAAAACATGAATCTCGGCCGATAATCATATCACCTCGCTCGAGAATAACCCGACAATTAGAGCGCATAGTGCAGGAGGAATGAACATATGGGTTTAAAACAAAATAACAAAAATTATTGTTACTCCGACTGTAACAAAAATAAACCAAACGAGGATCAAATAAAAACACATGTGTTCAAATGTAGACATCAAGCAAGATTAACGCGCAAAAGGAGAAAGCATAAAAAATAAACAACTACTTCTCCCGAAATCTTGAAACTTCTGAAGATAATATTCACAATACTTTGAAGCTACCTCGGGCGGGAATTTTTCTACCTCGGTCGGGAATTATTCCAGCGGTTATCTGTTACATTTAATGACATTTTGGTCATTTCACCTGCTTCTGACACATCATCAATGTCAAAAGTGAGTCATTTGGGCATAATTAAAGGAGTGGGTCATTTGAGCATTTCAAAAGTTTTTGGAGGTCATTTGAGCCAATTTCCCAAACATATGTTTCATTCTCAATGCTTTTAAAAGTGCTGTTACGATGTTTAGTTAATTTCTTTACAACTAGATACATTGAAAATTTGCAACTTTTCCCACTTCAACTTGTTATACAAGAATAAGAAATATACCAACCAAAGAGCCCAGTCCAACAATTGTCTCTTGTACCTATTCAGGGTTGAGCTTCTTTGCTATTATATCAACAGGTAATGATCCCRAAGGGGCTGACAGGTCGAGGTCTGCTTCCCAATCCTCATCATCATCATCAGAGCCATAGTTAGGTTCGCTGTAATCCTGACTTTCAGCGCTGTCATCTGGACTGTTAACCTTCTCTTCACTTGACAAGATAAATGCTGGATAAGAGTGCTCAGTTGCTTGTGAAATTTTCTCAAATTCCTCAACTTTCTCTAAGAGGTCATCAGGAGCAAGACCAATCACATTTAGCAACAATGCCTTGTTTGAATCGATAGCACGCTTCCATAGCAGCTTCATTTTTGGRCTAGTTTTGATTGTATGATGATTGCCATGTGAACGGTTACTATTCTTGATAGGCTCACCTAAAAAAAACAGCAAAGATGAAGACATTTAAAAGCCATTTGCAGTTATTATRTTCAAATCTGATGAGAAATAGAATTAGTCATTTATACTTTGCATCACAACTTAAGAGTTAAGACTACATGTCATGGCCTCTTTGTATTTCTGATAAAAGTGAGAAAGTGTAATTAAACGAAAGGACTATACTTACCAGAAGAGCCCGAACAATTATTAGTGCTAGCTTGAAGAGGAAGTGGAGCAGAACGATCTTCTGGAATAACTGACTTCCAATCTTTTCCCCTCCACATCAGTATCTTTTCGTTGTCAAATGACAGTAACACACAAGGAACCAATTCCTGTCGAGAAAAATGAAGGAATAATAATCAATGACTTATATCAAACGATCAGATATCATATGATTTCCACAAGTGCTAGTTACATATGTACATAACTTATTGGTTTAACTCGGCAGAAAGGTGGGTAGTTTCATCATGTGTAAAATAAATCTCAACCATGGTAATTGAAGTTTTAGTTTAAAGCATAATCAGCTCGGTTCCATTGATACCGCAACATATATCCAGAGATTTATCTCGGGATTAACTGCTAACTTCTATGCAAGTAATGTTGCAAGGGTCAAAGGAACAAAGCAGAGGTTAAAGGATTAAAATGTACGCCAACCTTGAGTTTAGCACCCAACTTTTTATAATCACTTTCATGCATCCCGGTGCAATCAATCTTCACTAAAATGCTTCCTTCAAAGGCATGCCTTACATCATTCACCAGGGAAATGTACACACCATTTTTTGCTGCAAAGGGAAATAGATTTTGCTCAATACTTATAAGGCGATTAAAATATGCCCATAATGTATGAATAACAAGCAAGTACACAATTGCAATCCGATTAAAAAAGAAATTTGTATATCAAAGTACCCTTTTCCATTTTTATATTCTTGGCTCATTAGCTTCTTCACCTAATTTACATATTCTCCAAAAACTATCACTGCCTCTATCACAAAAAATAAAATAAAAAGACTACATTTTCACTTTCCAAGTTGGCCCTTAAGAAAATCAGAAAAATAATATAAAAGGATCATCTTTGGTTGATAGGAGCCTGACATTGAAAAACAATGATAGCCTCTCAAGGGAGCTCGCTCTCCCAAAACTTTTTGTCCAAGCATTTGCCTAATCCCTCACTCTTWCCATCTTACTCTACTTATAACTACTCAATTTGATGTATAATATAAACTTAGTAACAGTTCTATTATTGGTATACTAATAGTTAACAGATTATATCTGCCAAATGGAGTTGCTCGACTAGAAGAAGAAAAAAGCTAACGAATACTGTTAGGGAACTCCAATAGCAACATAATAGAAAGAGAAATTGGAGACTATGGAGAATGATATACTCATTTACCTAATTTACATATTGGCAAAAGATTTTTCCCTTGCATCCTCAGCTTATTAGCTTCCTCTTTTGTCAATCCTTCTGGAGCTTCTTGAATAAGTTTTGGGTACACAGGGGCTGCAGGTTTCCAGAGCATTACTGGGTATTGGGGGCGAGTACGATAATTGTAGTTTCTACCTTGGAAAAGATATAATACMCCACCAACACGGTGAATTATTTTTCCACCTGTTTTTTCCTGGAATAGTGCACAAGAAATTTACAGGCAAAGGAACAGAGATAATTACTAGTGATCTCTCAGAAAAAGAAAGAGAATTGTTAGAAAAGGGTTGAGGAAATAAAATATTTGGGACACCATTTTTATGGGAAAGGAGAAAAAATATATACAATTGCAAAATGGGAGCAAACCAGTTAAAAGAAGTACCTTCAGTATATGATTTTTTTTCTGAGTCAAGATATAAAATTCTTTTGGTCATTCATGAAAGCAAATGGATTTGTTGAATCTTGACAATTCCTTGTCATATTGGACTGGATGGATCAATTCTCAGAAGCTAACA